TGACACCAAGCATTGTGGCTCTCGACAGGTTTCCGCCCATGATGCAGAGGTAACGACAAGCATTGCGATTATGCTATGACAGGAATAAGGGAGTGCTGTAATGAGAGTCGCCCAGAAACTGCTGCGCCATCATGCTTCTCAGTGGTTCATAATGAGCTTGACTAACTTACCCAACATGCATATGCCATTTGTGTCAGCTGACTAGTTTCTTTCACTGGAACTGGGATGCATGCGCGCATGCTGCCTGCTACGCAGCGATTTTTCTTTGTTAAAGAATAACTGCACGAAGGATCATTGTGGCACTACATAGCAAGCCTTGTCAGCATGTACAACAACGCCAACAATATGAACGTGCGTGTCAACTCAAGGTGCGCCACTATTGTTGGCAGAAGGCAACCGACAATCAACAGCGTCAAGCATACCTGCCGGAGCTGTAGATCCCACATGCGTCTCTGCTGCTGCAGGTCTCGCACGCAAGCCACAAAGCGCTCCACAAGTGGCACAGGCACGTCTGCAAAGCACTGCGACTTGCAATCCAGCCGAAAGATGTCTTCCCATGTGGTGTAGCCATGGATGGTGATTAGTATCGCAAAGAACACTCGCGCAGCCTTGACTGGCAGGCTGAGATGTCGCACCAGGCTCACGAATATGCTGTTATTTGCTGGTAGAGGAGCGTCCCTCCAAGAAACCTTGGGCAGACAGATACCTGCACAGTTCAATCATGAGAGGGCCACGTGAGCAGTCTATAGAGTATAACCAACGTGTAGCTAGCAAAAAAAAATACAAAAGCTAATCTGAGCACTGGCAAAAGCCTCACACAGCAACAATTTCCACGCTTCTTATTCATTTAGAACTCTGCTGTCACCCTGCTATGATGTAAGCGTGCATAGCGCACACAATAAGCTTGAGTGCTGTCAGGTGCCACAAGAAACAGCAGCATGTCGAGCTCTTATTTATAAGCAACGCCCCTACATTCGTTCCAAACGCTTGTATCACTGTTAAAGTGCTGGACTCGTGAACCGTAAAGTACAGGTCAACTTTGCGACGGTAACTGTCAGTTATATCGTTAGTCTAGACGCCTTCATGAACGTCATAAAACTTTGATAAGCTGTCGTAAGTTGCGCTCAAGTGCCGTAAACTTACCCTCGAAGCTGCTTTTGCAAACCTGGAATTGAAGTGAGGTGCGCCGTGACTGTAGTGAGTACTCTGTGCAAGTGCGAGTGTAATGCTGATGACAATCAGGGGGAGGTGAAGGTGGAGGTGCTGCACAGCCTTAGGCAGGCTGAGCTTGCGCAAGGCCAAGCGGGTGATGGTTGATGCTAAGCGCGTTCGAGTTAAAGGCAAGCGAAGTTCCAAGCTGGTGGTAGGGCGAGCAAAGCCTCGTCAGTGCCACTACAGCAGCAAGCGCTTCTTGGCTGTCAATCTGGTCAAACTCATCATGGAGCACCCCAGTGCCTTAAGCAACCCATGCAGCCTAGGCACAAGGACAGACAATCCTGCGTCAGCGAACAAGCGCATATTGGTCCCTGCACTGCGCAGAACTGCAGCAGACGTTCATTATTGAAGAGCTTGCTCTCTTCTTTTCTCACCAACAGCTGCTGGACATATTGTGTCATCATTGAGGTACTTGGTGCTTGTGAAATGGCCCCAAGCCTGGTGTCTGGTTCAACATGTATGACATCTACAGCAAAAACATTTTACGAGGATGGTGTACTTTTTTTGCGCTTATGACTTAGCAGTATGTCGTAAAAAGCCTTAGGGTTGCTAAGGATGTATGGCCTTTATTTAAGGTAAAGTGCATTATTTTACGTTAACCGTTTACGTCCTAAATATCCCAAAAGTTGCGATTCGGGCAACTCCACCTACTTTTCCTGGTACACTCATTTGTGTAAAACTCGTCGTCATTTCGCTGACGCCAAGTCCATAAGTTCTACCAACAGATGGCTGTTTAGGTATGCCACCTCAAGCATGTTTGTGACACGGTTTGTCACATAGCACCAGCATCAGCACAGGATGCGGCACCTCGGCCGCGAATGAAGCTGCACAAGTGCGTCATGAATGACCAGCACAATGAGGTGCACAACCTAGCTGATACGCAACCGAAAAAGAGTCACACCTGATAGAGCACAGGTAGCTACAGGCATGTGTAAAACCCAAGTGATCAGCATCTTCCACGCTCGAGAGCTCACCATGACCACCACCACCTGCTGTTGGCCAGCAACACTGGTGGCGCAAAGAAATCAGCAGTCTCCGTTTGGCAGGAAAACCGAAGTCGAACAGGCAAAGCAGGTGACTCAGTTTTGCCTGCAATGAGCAATGCATGCTGACTGCATCTACAACGCACTTGAAGCACACTGTGTACAGTGAGTTGCGCTGATACGATTGCTGGTGTTTGCAATTGTACACATTGCGACGGCATGACACTTGACACCAGAGCGCACCTGCTGCTTCAATCGCTACCTCGTGTGTTGAAGGAGTCCGAAAGCGCTCCAGCTCCAGCGCCTGTAAGAACAGCCGCATATACTCGATGCGCTCCCGCAGCTCTACAGCCTTGCGTTTGCCGCTGCTGACACCATACAAGACTTCCAAGCGGTGCAACGCGCGCGCCAAGTCTTTTGCCATCGACTCATGCGTGAACCGGCACCACGCTCGCAAAGCTCGGTCTCTGGTTATTGCCTCTGTCTCCAGCTGTGGTATCACCTCTGCGGCGGTCCCTTCCTCGTCCTCCATCATCAGTTGGCCATGTTGACTTATGCACCTTTACTGATACAGCCACTGTGACCGTTTCCGCTATAGCGCTACCAGCTCTGTGTGTTCCCTCAGCCTGTCTGTAAATAAAAAGTTTCGCGCCGCAACTTCAAGTGGTTTTTTTATTCTCCACGAGCCTTCAAGACGACCCACATACACACAAGGAAGGGAAAGGCTCCCTAATCCTCCGGAGATAGGGGGCGAGGGACCCATACCCATAGTGCAGAGGAGGCTAGCAAGGGGTAAGCTGCGCTCAAAGCGGGTCAGATACCACCATCGCTCCCACCTTAGCATAGGGTGTTTAACATGCGCCAAATGCTTTGCGTTGAACATGTGAGCATTAAGCTACGTACACCTTGCGAGCATGGGCTCTGCCTTTCTGTGAGACCGTGTTATCTCTACGTCAAGCACTTTCAACCACCCCGCCCCCGCAACTTCAAAGCCGTTACGCACAACTTCACTTCTGAGGCGAAAAAAATGACGATAAGAGCGCCTGCAGGCCGTGAAGCGTGGCCGCAGGCTTGAGACTGCAGTACGAGACGTGCCGAGCGTCAATACGCTGCGCGCGCTGAGCGCCGCCCGTGCAGCAACACCTCACGCGCTGGAGAGCCAGCGCCAGAATAAGCTCGAGGCTTCTGGGTGTGTTGCCGCTGGGAGCGGCAACTCGCCCCCAGCGCGCTGATTGGTGAACGATTGTAGCGGTATGCACGTACGTACGCATACCCGGCTCGCAAAAATTAGCATGCCCAGATGCATCGGTAGTGTGGAGAATCGCGCGCGCGCCGAAATACTTAAGAAGGCTCGCGCCTTGAAGGGTCCCTCGCCTACAACGAACAAAAAAACGTGCCACCGTGACGTGTCGTGTTCGTTAGCAATCAATCAAGTAGAGTTGCGCGTGGCTCCCGTGGGCCTCCATTATCTGCCCGCATAGAACCAGGGCACTCCTGCGCGTGCATCTGCAAGCGGCGATGGGTGTGTGGATATGAGACGGGGCCCGCGAAGAGGAAGGCGGGGGGGGGCATAGACAGGGTGCAGCTTCACATGTGCTGCAGCCTTCATTACGCCCATGGGATCCTTGTGGTTGTCTGCATGGCCTCAAATGCTCTGAACTGCGGAATATGCTGATGCTCAGGCTGGCAAGGGGACAATCCCAATCAATACCACACAATGACATTCAACCTTAATCCTTGGGCTAACATCAACACCTCTCCAACTTACAAGCATCCGTCATCTGGCTCTCCACCACTGATCATGCCACAGTGTCTCGTGCCAAACCTCTTAGGATTCGACAAGCAGAAGGCCCTGTGTGCCAGTGGGATGGGAAAAGTCAACATCCTGCATTGGCTGCAGCTGCTGCGACAGCTGTGGAGCAGCTTCCGAAGTCATATGTTAACAGGATGGGCATGACGCCTGCCCGGTGATTGGCTACGATGATCCGACGCGCCAACTACCGCTCATGGTGGACGTCACCTGCTTCGAGGCACAGGTGGCGTCGCGAGCGCAGAAGACTGCAGCAGACCCCGAGCGTTGCTGCCGCGACCAAGAGGCCGCCAAAAGTACTCACTATTCTGGTCATTATGATCAGAATGGCTACAAACTTGCCAACTTGGCAATCGGTCATTCGGCAGCATCGGGGAGCAGGGGCGGAAGCTGCTGGAGGCTGTGGCGACGGAGTATGCCAGCAGGATGTCAGTGCCCGGAGGAGCGCGCCCTGAAGCTCTTAAGGGCATCGCCCTGGCGCGCTTACGCTCGGCACTATCGGCAGCGCTCCACATGGCGTACTCTGGCCGTGTCATGACACACATGGCAGAATCCAGGGGGGGGGGGCACATGGAGGAGGACGTAGGGGAGGATCCCAAGATGCCATTTGGCGGCGGCGGCGTTTGTGTGGTTGAGACACTGTCAGAAGTCACACGACATGTAGATTCCGTACAGCAGCCTCAAGTTAGACCATCATCTGGGCTTTTTCGCGCCCTGAGCGAGAATCAATAAGAAGTACAGTCTTTTGGCGGCCACTTGGTGGCGGCAGCACCGCTTTGAGCCGATTGGGATCCGCTGCAGTCTTCGCCGCTAGCGTCTGTGCCTCGAAGGAGGCCGCAAACCTTGGTGGCCGACGTTCCACACATGTACATAGTGCCGGTGCCTTTCAGGGCGCGCAGGCGCGCTGAAAGCTTCGTCAGTCTCCATGTACCGTTGTTTGATTGCCGCAGCATACCCTTTGATTGTGTCAGACGGCGTCAAGAGTACCCTAAGCTCACATAGCTAAGCGGTTAAGGCACTGCACTTGTAATGCAGAGATCTCCGGTTCAATTCCGGATGTGAGCTAGCATTTTTCTCTATTTTTGAGGCTTCTTCATTCCCCCACCTCCTGAAGGCCATGTCTATCTGTCCCCCACCGACTTCCGCCATGTACTTTTTATTCATTCCCGCCATGTACATGCATAATGACACGCCAAGAGTAGGCCATGTGGAGCGCTGTATGTGCTGCCGCTATTGCCTGTAATGCTTCTGCTGCCGGAGTAGTTGCGCTGTGTGCTGCCGCTGCCGCTGCCGCTGCCGCTGCTGCTGCCGCTGCTGCTGCCACTGCTGCTGCCGCTGCTGCTGCCACTGGTGACGCCTGTGCTGCCGTCATGGCCATCGGTCCAGCAGCAGCTGCACCGTGTACCGCCAGAATGGCTGCGCCGCTAGCGGCCGGCACTGGAATGGCTGTGCCGCCTGCGGCCACTGCTAGTGCTGTGCGCCCAGGCGTTGTCGATACAATGCATCTTGGTACCTGTACGTACCGAGATGCGTTGTATCGACAACGCGTGGGGCACAGTCCTGTAACGGTTGCAGTCGCCTGCTCCAGCCCTGCCCCACCCAGAGAGTGCAGCGCTCGCAGCATGTACTTTTCATTTATTCACGCTCAGGGCGCAAAAAAGCCCAGATGATGGATGTCCATGGAGTTGCAACCAGATTCTACTTGTGTCTTTGTGAACACCTCAATTGACAGCGTCTCAATGCACATTGCCGATCACTTATGACCGACATCGCCTTATGGCATCTCCCCCCCCCCCTCGAAGTCCTCGTCCATCTGCCCCCCCTTGCACTCTGCCATGTGCGTCATAACACGCAAAGAGTACGCCATATGGAGCGCTGCCGACAGAGCTGAGCGGATGCGCGCCAGTGCTACGCCTTTTAGGGCTAGATGACTGGCTGCTCCAGGCACAGACTTCCTGATCGCATACTCCGTGGCAACAGCCTCCAGCAGCTTCCGCCCCTGCGCCCCGAATGACCCGATTGCCAAGGCAAGTTTGTAGCAATTCTGACCATACTGTAGTGACCAGAATAGCGGGTCTGTACCACAATGAGTACATAGCCACGGTCATGACACATCAAACAGACACAGCAACGAGTCAATGCAGATGTGAAATCCCATTTCTTACAAAGCACAGGTTGCTGCCGCAAGGCGGTACGAGGGCGCGTATATGTGCGTGGACATACCATGAAGAGCATTGCAGGCACGACATTTGAGACACATGATGCACTCAGAGCGGTCAGGAGCTAGATAATATTCATGTGCGTCGATGGCTCCCGTTTCTTCAAGTTGCAGTTCCTGTTGGTCCGCCGTGAACCAACTCCCCGGGGTATCTATACAACAGCTCACCAGATGCATCAGCAGCTCAGCTGCCCAGATGGAGCATGGCTGTCAGTAGTGCAACGCGGCTGCCGGAAAGGCGCCCAATTGCGCTACGGCCGCTGCTGCCTGCCCTGTGTGTGTCTATCAATGAAAGTTCAACTTCAACCTGTATATGAGAGGCCCCCGAGACTCACGTACCAACAAAAAAGCACCCTAGTGGTGCACCCCCCACGCCCGCCTGCCCTGCCGAGCAGTGCTACTGCTGCCTTGTGATTGTGATGGTTTGCTGCTCCCGCCACAACTGCTGCTGTCGCAGCACTTGGTGCACATGCCTGACCAGTCCTATTGTACCCCCCGACACTGCCCTACCGAGACACACCCGTAATAAACCCTTGCCCCTGTCACGGCGTGCGCCTGATGTGCCAGGCGCACATGCGCACGCACTCCCTGCAACGCAGTGCATGAACTGCACTAGGTACACACACCGCAGTGCACGAACCGCAGCATGTGAACCGAAGTAGCAGTGCTCAGCGCACCAGCCACCGCCATGTGCACTGATGACGCCACAATCACAACGGCTACTGCTGCTAAAGTAACACTGCTGCTGTGCGTTCCCCACTGCCCTGCAACTCAGACTGCTGGCGCCCCCGCATGCGTGCCTTCAGTGCTGCCGCTGCCGTCGTCGCTGCTCGCCAGCATCGCCGCGGCAGCGCTCCACACACGGCACAACATATCCTGTGAGCCCAGTAGCAGTGCCGCCTCACCGAAAGCTCACAGCAGACGCGCCTAACTCTTTTCTTCTTAATCAGCGTGTCGACGGCCAACGGCAGCGCTCCTCTCGCCGCCTCTGTCGAGCCGTGACACGGAGACCTTTGGCGCATGCGCCCCATAACGTTCCGCAGAATGTTCCGTCTCCGCAGTCTCTTGCCCTGTGTTGGCCGCACCCGACCATATACTGGCGTTGATGCTACTGCCGCTGCTGCTGTGGCCGCTGCTGCTGGTGTTGCCGCCGCCGCTGCTGCTGCTGCTGCTGCTGCCGCCCACACTGCCCCCGCTCTTGCTGCCGCCGCCACCACTTCTGCTGCTGTAGCTGCTGCTGCAGCTGCCGCTGCCACCGCTGCTGCTGCTGCGTCCATACCTGCTGCCGCTGCCGCTGCTGCCGCCGCTGCTGCCGCTGCTCCTGTGGCCGTTGCCGCTGCCGCTGCCGCCGCTGCTGCTGACGACGTTCTGGTTGCTGTTGCCGTCGCATGAGCCGCAGGTACTGTCGTTTGGCGATGACGACAGCGTGTACTCATGGTCTTCGCCCTCGTCAAAACTTTCCTCGGAGCCCTCGCACTCCAGCATCGGCTCCTCCGCAATGCTGTCGATCCTGCGCAGCGGGAAGACAAAAGAACAACCATGTTGATGAGACAGTACAGTGGAACTTTAACTGGCCGCAGGGCACGGCAATGCTGTCAATCCTGCTCAGCGGTGAGACAAAAATACCATCATTACGGTAGGACTGGCCGCAAGGTACGGCAACGCTGTCGATCCTGCTCAGCGGCGTGACAAAAACTCCATTGATGAGACATTACACTGGAACTTAAACTTGCCGCAGCGCTCAGGAAGCGTACGTACATGCATAGAGGGGGAGAGTGCGGCTTGTGCCTGGTGCAAGTGAGTGAGTGACTTGTGCCCAGTGCACGATGCTGTGGTGGCACCGCTCTGTCCCAGAGCGACAGTGCGCGCTCTGTCCCAGAGCGACAGCGCACAAACGGTAGGTGTGGAGACTTGCGGGGCAAGAAACTGAACATGCATCAACGCAGCACCTGCATCACGAGCAATGCCACTTCAAGTTGCGGTCGCCGAGGCATTTTTGTGCTGCATACCGCAGTCAATGTGATGCCTGCGGCACAAGCGCATCTATTGCAGCCGCTGCGTTCAGTGTGACTGGCAGTGTGACAGCTGAGGCATGCTGCCTGTGCAGCGTCACAGTGTGCCCCCCCGCTGTCATGCATGCGGTGAAGCTTCACCGCACGCAGCAGCTCAGTCGTGTATGCAGTGGAGCGTCACCGCTTGCAGCAGCAGCATCGCTCAGATGGCAAACACACTGCCGCCAGATCTACGTTCTGTACATGAACCGGAGCGTCACCGCACGCTGCTGCAGCATTGCTCAGGTGGCAGACAGCTGCAGCAGCGCTCAGCCAGCAGACGTGAACTTGGACAACTTCGATAAGCTCACACGCAAGTTCACATCCACCTGTCCACACCAACCACAGCACTTGTACACGCGTTCGACAGCCAGCGGTGCCATGGTTTGAGAGCCCATTGCATGCAATGCTCACAGCACCTTTGCACACGTGAAACGGACAGCAGTGCCATGTTTGGGAGAGCCCAGTGCACGCGTGGTACTTCTCGACAAGCTTCGCGCCGGAACTTGCTCAATAGTCAGGGCGCAGCTGTGTGTCTGACTGGAACAGGACGCATGCGATGGCCTGATGCATCGCACAGCAGTGCTCAGCGCTCAACTGCAAGTCAGAGTCAGAGTCTCACATAGCCCTGACACAGCACTGCCGGTGCTGCGCAGCGGAGACGCACCTGAGCCGCTGATGAAATTGAAGTTTCAACTTCAACCTGTCGTGCCCGATGTAGCTGACGCTGCGCGGCCGCGGCACGGGCCGTCGCAGGCCAGGCGACTCTCCTCCCTGCAAGCAGGTTTCAGAAGCAGACAATGAACTTCAACATTAAACTTCATCAACAGGTCCGCGATACTGGCTCACCAGAGATGGCGCCGTGATAGCTCGACCGAACACGCATCAAGTTGGTGCACCAGCGCACCAAGCATGGACAATCGAAACTTCCAGATGAAGGTACTGTGCTTGACGCCTGCAGGTTGCAAAACTGTTGGCCGACAAGGGCTCTTCAGCATTGATCAAACAATGCATGCCTTTTGAAAATTGCATGTGCTGCAGGCCCGGGATTTCTGCCCTGAACACCGACCAATGATGAACTTGCCAACGTTGAATCACTGCGGTGCAGACGATCAATTAGCGTGAAACAAGTCTCGTCACGAGCCTTGTAATTGTGTGCTGCATCAGGTTGCACAGTTTTCCGTTTAAAACTCCCATGGTCTGGGGGACAGGCACAAGGTGCTGTGTTCTGGAACAACCACAGTGTGGAACTCCTGATGACATGCATCTTGCGCATGAAGCACAGCCATGCTCATAATATCATGCTATGGTCACTGTGCATGCATCATGCAAGTGCTCAAATACATCACGCACCTGCTGCTGCTGCCAAGCTCTGTTGAGTGCGAAAGCCGAATGCACCCTGCGGCAACTGCTAGCACTGCCGCCTTCACGCACTCCCGCGCTCCGAGCCGCAGCTGTTGCTGCCTGATACTGAGCATCGTTACGTGCCACCAGGCTGCAGATGAGGCACAGCCGCGCCGCCGGTGCAGCCGCTGCCGCCGCCGCCGTCGCCGCATCAGCGCCGCCGCGCCTGCCAGGTCCTGACGCAGCGGGTCCTCTGCGTGGCGCGTTGCAAAGCACGTGGTGGCACAGCAGCCGCCGCGCCTGCATGCATGAGGGTTTGCAGCGAGTCTCCGAGCAGCCCGCCATGTGCCGCAGCAGCTGCTGCGCGACGGCGCAGGACCTGATGGCGCAGCTGCCGTCGCAGGCGCGCGCATGTTGGAGCAGCCAGATGTGATTGGCTGCCTTCTTGGCGC